CTCCCTTTTCAAGGCTCTAGACCTCATGGTTGCAGAGCTGGGTAACTATTTGCCAGAGAAGTACTTTCCCACTAACTTTTTCTTTTTTTAAAGTCAAAGCAACATTTTTCTCTCCCTTCTTTTCCCCACTGTAAGAAATGCTAAGGACAAGGAACTGGAATAAAACCAGACTCCTCCCTTACTTTTTTTTTTCTTATTGCTTTCAAATCTCAAATCTATTGCTTCTCCTCAAATCTGCAGTCTTGGAAGCGGCTTTGGGGATTTTTTCTAGCCTGTGGAGGCTCCATAAACAGAAAAGAAACATGGCTTGCAGCCTAAAGCAAGGCCTAGAGCAAGCCACCCCTCCAAAGTGCATCTCTGCTTGAGTCCCTGATCTGGAGGCATGTTCTGAGCAGGGGCTCATACAGAGACACAACAGAAGCACTCCTCCTCTGGGTCGTCGTCCTGCTTTTAATGAACTCTTTGCTCAGGTGCCCACCCTGCTGATGTGAAGATCGTGGACTGACCTGATCGAAGACCCCCATCGCGAGGACGGGCAGGGAGGTGTAAACAATGTTGTACAGAGTGATGAAGTACTGATCGTACACAGTCTTGGGAGGAGAAAAAGGAAGACATTAGTGCTTGTGTTGTCTGGGCCCCCCGCATCCACAAGACCACCTTCCCTTCGGCCCCTGTGGACCCCAGGCTCCCTACCTGGGCAGAGAAGCCGCAGAAGAAGCCGAACCAGAAGTGCACCATGGTGAAGGCGAAGTTCTTGTAGAAGAAGTAGCAGAGGAATTTGCACATGCGGAGATACGACCAGCGTCCGTGAACGAGGAGCAGGCGCTGAAGGAACTTGAACTGGGAGAAGGAGTAGTCGGACGCCAGCACGGCTTGGATCCCCTCCTGGCCACTGATGCCCACGCCGATGTGGGCAGCTGCCACGGATTAGGGAGGAAGCCAAACAGCAGAACGAGGTCAAGACAGCATCTCGGCAGCTGGCCTCAGCCCAGAAGACTCCAGTCCCCAGAATTCCCCAGCCCTCGTGGACAAGGCTGAGAATCTCGGGACGCCCCCTCCCGACCTGGGGACTCCGATTCCCAGAATTCCCCAGCCCACCACTGGCAGGAGACAGTGGTGGAAGGAACTACGTGCAGATTTCGAAAAGATTCACAGGCTTCAGGATCCCTGGGGCCGATTCCCACCCGGAGACTCACTCTTGATCATGCTGACGTCGTTCGCCCCGTCCCCGATGGCCAGAGTAACGGCCTTCTTGTATTTCTTCACCAGCTCCACCACCTGAGCCTTCTGCAAGGGGGTCACACGACAACAGATGACCGCCTTGCAAGCGCACGCTGTCTCCAGGAACTCCACTTCCATGTCGGCTTCCAGCGCGTGCGCCTGGCAAGGAGACGAGGGGAAAATTCAGGGAGGGGCAGCCCCCCGCTTTTCGGTCCCTGCCTGAAAGAGTTGGGATCCTTTCGTGGCGCCCCCATGGTCAGCAGCAGTCTACCTTAGAATCCTCTCTTCTTCCCATCTCTGCCCCGACCGGCTCCCACCAAGAAATGTTCTCAGAAAATCGGGGCGGGGGGGAGGCGGAGGAGGAGAAAAGAGGGGCGCACGGCTTTTGGTATCTTATCCAAACCAGGCAGAAATTAAAGAACGAAGGAAAACACAGGGGGAACTGACTTTTAGCCTGGGGAGGGATATTTGTAGCAGGGTGGGGGGCTTTTTATAAGCCAAGGCTAGAGCTGTATTGACCGGGGGTCAGTCTTTATGATCTCTAAAGGACCCCTTCTGAAATTCTGCAGGAGCGAGCCCCATATCTAGATTTTTTTTTAACCAGCCCCGTCCCTCTGTACCAGGCTGTGCCCGTTGATGACCAGAGCATATTCCCCCGCCACGGCCTCCAGGACAGACGTCAGTTTCGAGGCGGACAGCTTCTCCTGGAAGGCGAACCCGTTTCCCATCGACTGCGACGAATCCATCAATTTCTCTCGAGCCTTCCTGCCAGAGGAGGGGGGCACCAAGGAGAGGGGGAAGACCACAATGATTAAGGATCAAGGTAAAAAAAATAAAAGAAGAGCTAAAAAAGCAGGCGTTCCCTTCCCCTTCCCCAAATCACAGAGGTCGGATTTAATTCCTGCGCCCGAGTTCTTCCTTTGCTGGGCTCGGTTGATTGAACCCAAAAAACATGCCTGGTGCCAACACAGTGGGCAGCAAACGGACCCGGGAAAAGCCACGGTGGGCACCCGGAAACAAGGTCCCGGGACGGGCGACGGGTTCCAGAAAAGCCCACTCACCGCAGCTCTTGCCGAACCTCGAAGACGGTGTGTCCGGAGATGACGAAGACCTCGGTCATCTCGTCGGTCAGCATTTTGCAGGAGTACCCGATGTTGACCGCGGTCTCTGAGGAAGGAGAGGCGGAGAGGGGTCTTGAGCCAGGAGCCACCCAGTCCAGCTCGCCCATGGCCCCTGTATCGATCTGCCCAACCCGGGGGAAGCCTGGCACGGCCTCCTTCCCGGGTGGGCATCGAGGTCCTGGGGGAGCCTTGGGCTCGGAGGTGGGCTGGGGCAGATGGGCAGAGAGACAGATGGACAAACAGATAATTTAGATACAAATATTGAGAGAAATATTGAGATAAGTATTGAGAGCCAGCCAGCCAGATAAATGATAGGCATTTTGATACAAATATTCAGACAGATAAATATTTAGATATACATAGATATTTACAGCAAGACAGATAGAGAGAGAACAGATATTTAGATATAAGTGTTTAGATAGATAAATCTTTAGAGAGGTATTGAGAGAAAGGCAGAGATGTTTAGATAAATATTTAGGTAGACCTAGATAGGCATTTCTCTCTTTCCATGTACCTAAGAGATTGAGATGCACGGGCAAATATTTAAAGAGATATAGATGGACATATATTTAGCTAAAGGTAGAAGAGAGAAATATTTAGATATACAGAGACAGACGGGTACCGTATTTATCTTTTTCTATCTATCTAAAGAGAGAGAGAGATTAGAGATAGACAGACAGACAGACAATTTAAATATAGGTAGAGAGATATTTAGATGAAGAGAGATGGCTAGACAGATAAGATAAATAGAGATATAGATGAATATGAAGATGTAGATGTATATATTCATATATATGTATGCATATGTATATGTATCTATGAACTCTAAATGTCTGTCTGTCTGTCTGTCTGTCTGTCTGTCTGTCTATCTATCTATCTATCTATCTATCTATCTATCTATCTATC